GGTAGCATAGTGCCTAAGGCAGCTGACTGCTAACCAGAAGGCTGGTGGTTCAAACCTACCAGCCACTCCTCAGAAGAAAGATGGGGCAATCTACTTCCGTAGTGAGACTGCCTCGGAAACCCAAGGAGGGGTCGCTATGAGTTGGGTTCAACTCCACGGCACATACCAACCAATACCAACCATATATACATACATACATACATACATACACATACAGCTGTGGATAAGGAGCTCTGGTGGTATAGTGGTTAAGGCATTTGACTGTTAACCTGTTAATTAAAAGATCAGTGGTTCACATTCTACCAGCTATTCCTTGGAAGAAATATGAATCAGTCTGCCTCCGTAAAGATTTACAGCCTTGGAAACCCAGTGGGGGTTACTGGGAGTCAGAATTGACTCAATGGCAGTGAATTTGGCTTTTTTGTTTTTATACCTGTGGATATGATCTGGTTTGGAAATAGAGATTTCTTTGTTATGTTAATTAGGCCATACCCAAGTAGGGTGGGTTCTAAATCTCATCATCTCTGAGTTATAAAAACAGCAGCATAGATACAGAAACACACACATGGGGAAGATAGATCCTAGGAGTACCTACAAGGAAGATCTCAACATGGTCAAGGCCCTTATTCAGACTTTCAGCCTCCAGAACTGTGAGAAAATGAACTTCTCTGTTCTTTAAAGACCAGCCACTTTTTTTTTTTTTTTTTTTAACAGCAGCACTAGGAAACTAAGACACCCTCCCCCCTGTCATTCTCTGTATGACCTCCTCAGCTCTGGATTTTCTGGCCAGAAGTTACAAAATATTTTTATATGCTACCCCTCCAGACACCCAAAGCCTAGTTCTGGCTCTCCTTCTGTGTCATCCCATTCACATCTGTGCCAGATGGCACATTCAGTTAAGTGCATAGCAACATCAGTAAGGCAGGTATTGGCAGAGGTTTCAGGAGAGGCTGGCAAGACAAAAGCGTGGAGGGCAATTATGTGTTCATCTGTCATTTACTGAGCACTTAACTATTTCCAGAAAACCCAGCTAAGTGTTTTATAGACAGGATCTGATTGTTTTTCTTTATTTCTAATCTTTTCTGTATACTATCATCTCATTTCAAACTTTCCATTTCTGAGATCACATTATATCTGGGTTTTTCTAGTGTTTTTTAATGCTGTTCTTTCATAATTTTTATTTTTTGGCTTATTTTGATATATTAGGTTACAGTTATCTGTTTGATCAGCATGTCTTTCTGGCATTTCTTCATTGTAGGGATTTTATTCTCTTTTTCTTATAAGGAGTTTGTATGGGATTTGACAATAGTCCTCTCTCATAATTTACATCTAAGTAAAATAAGTTTCCCTATATATTTAGAAAGGAAAGGTTAGTCAGGATAGCTCATCTAATGGCATGACTCTAACCTCCTACTTCTGTTGTGTTTTTAATGTGTTAAAAAAAAAAAAAGGACCTCTCAGTCTCTTAGCTCTGCCTCTTTTGCTCTCCTCTCACACTTTTATCTGGACCATCTGTGGTGCAGTGAATTAGTTGGTGTGGCTCTTCTAGTCATGGTTTTTGTGACTGCCACCAGATAACTGGGTGGAACTATACAAATGTGTGGTGCTTTGTGGCCTATCTAGGGGATTGGATAGCTTGTCGGGGTGGGACCATGAAAATAAGGTGTATGGAACGCTAATATGGGGATTGGTCAATTTTGTCATTCTGCTAGGCTTAAAATGAGCCCTCCTAGAGGCACAAGGGGAGCTCTGATAGCATAGTGCCTAAGGCACTTGACTGCTAACCAGAAGGCTGGCAGTTCAAACCCACCAACCACTCCTCAGAAGGAAGGTTGGGCAATCTACTTCCGTAGTGACATTGCCTTGGGAACCCAAGGAGGGGTCGCTATGAGTTGAGTCTGACTC